CCTCCGGCACGTTCACTTGATGGTTTTTATCGATGTTTCGATCCGAATGAGTAGGAGGCGGCAAAATACAGGCGACCCATGGGCAGCAAGTAGGTAAATCTGGCCCTGCATCCCGGTCAATTTTCACATCGTGGGAATCCAGGTACAACTATACTTTTTTGATATGTTGTATGTATGGTTAAGAGCTGTTACGTGCGTTAATATAAAAGTTGTACCCCTCTTTCTTGAACCTTAGGTGTGGCAATTTATCAAATTTTGGCCGTGTTCGGCTCTTTAAAACGATTTTTCTCGAAAATTGGCAACGTAGAAAAAAGTTTCACTTAACATTTTTTATTCATTATTTTGTGATCTTTTCAACACATATGCGGTTCTCAGTTTAAATTGAGTTCTACGTGTGTGAAATTGAAAAAACCCCTCAAAATGGGCCAAAAATAGCATCAATGGACCGTAAGGCCCCTTAAAAATTTATTGGAGACCTTTTTAAACGCCAGAAACGGAAAGTACGCAAAAAAATACATTGGAATCATGCGTTGGAAGAGTGATAACAGCCGAAAAAGTCGACGAAAATAACTATTTTTCAATGCCAGGATTTTGGGTTTGAGTCGTTGCTGCACCTTTGCATGGGCTCCGTTCGGTGAAATATTTGGCAAAGAGTCTACATAGGACTAGTACTTTGAAATTATGAAACGTTCAGCAAAATCCAGGTGTGGCCGGAAAAGGCCCAAAACGATACTCCTTTTTTATGCGGGTTTTCCAAGTTTAGTCAATGTAGTTTACGGAAATAATCATGATTCGGTCCATAGGCCACTGGAAACGTATTAAACGGTTGCCTGAACGTACGTCTGCAGGTGTATTTTAGCGAAAATGCGTGTTTTTCTCTCACTCCAAGGCTTTTTTGACACCGAGCGCCATCGTCTAACTAAAACGAGCTTTTGATATGTTATCAAGGAGGCTTTAGGACACATTTTATAGGCATCATCTAACTAAAACCAAACCAGGGTTGAAATGTGTTCTAAAGCCTCCTTGTTAACATATCAAAAGCTCGTTTTAGTTAGACGATGCGCTCGGTGTCAAAAACACCTCGGGGTGATAGAAAAACACGCATTTTCGCTAAAATACGCCTGCAGACATATGTTCAGGCAACCGTTTAACACGTATCCAGTGGCCAGGGCCGGATTTACCTATGGGGCACTGGGGCACTTGCCCATAGCGGCAAATTTTGAGGGGCGGCAAATTTTGGCACTGGATTAATTGAAAGTTAAAGCGAGAAAAAAGGAAAAAATGGAGACAGAGACGGAGCGAAGTGAAAAAATGAGCGGCAAAATGTATGAAGGAAGGGAGTTGACGCTTGACGGGAGCGGCAAAGCTGCCGCCCCTTAGGTCCGGCCTTGAGCGCTAGGATGATCGTTCGTTGGAGTGATACTAAACAACACGGCAATTTTAAACATCGAGGCAGACTTGATAATCAATTTAGACGTTGATGCTCT